ACATCTATGTCAAAGTGTTACTTAATGTGTGGAGAGGAACAAAGCTTTTTGAGGGAAAAATGTTCATACAGAAATTAACACTGGAGAGTTAATGAAAATTCAAGTTCCTTCCCCCAAGACCAATTTTTGTGAAGCTCTGAGTTCTCAGAGCCCTCCTGAAGATGCAGTGAAGGAGTTCGGTAACACATCTGCTTTTATATTCCCAGAGTACAAACATTTATTCTTATAAACTGTGTCCAGTAGCTCTGGGAAATTAAATCACGCACACAGGAAACTGTTCCATTGATGTCTTCAGTAATAGGTAATTCGTAGGATATTTTTATAGGAAGGGATTGGGCCTTTGGGCCTGGAACGTTTTTATCTTTTTCGTTTACGCCTGGAAATGAGGTAGACTCAGTACAAGTTCTGAGAGGAGATGGAGTTTCTGGAAACTCCCTGATGAAAACGCCTGACACTCATCTAGCTTTCTGCCTAGCAACTGAGTTGACTTAGGATTCCTCCTGCTGAGTGAGATGTAAGCACCATTGGCTAGTTAATACTGTTGGTTTTTAAATCTCCACTTTCATCTCCTCAGGGTCGGTAGACTGGGATGATGGGAGTAGCTGGATTTGTCCCTCCTAAACCCATTTCATTATTACATAGGCAAGACTCTCAAAAGCCTGCTTGAGTTAGAAATTTCACCTGCCCAGGTTGGCTGGCCTACTGCGATATGTATGTAGTTGACCTCTTTCAGAAACATGTGTATCTGTGTATGCCACTGGGCCTGTCTGTGTTGTATACAGCTGTTCCAACTATTTGGAACATTATATATAATATGACAAAAAGCCTTCCTATGCTTTCAGCTGTCAAATAACTTCAAATCCATAAACCATAGGGGCTGGGTTGTGGAATTTGCTAGAGTTTATGTTTGCCTAACACCGTCTCCTCCTTGTTATTCAAATGATAACCATAGGCAGATTTACACTTATTGTCTGTTCCGAAGAGTGAAACTACACATTTTCATAAGCACGCTCCATTTTTAATTGTGTAATTAAGTTGCTGACATAAGCAAGTATGCAATTTCACATTAAGGTAAGGATCCGTAAAGGCATGCATTTGCATAATTTAATTTTCTGCACAGAAGATATTGAAAATCAATAGCATGATTCATAGCCAGACCATAGCAGTACCATGCTGCTGCTTGGCTGTTGGAGCTTGGGAGAGAACAGAGTATTAAAATTGATTGAATCTGGCATGCTGACTCTGTAGCTTTACTTGGGAACCACAGACTGTTACCATTTGCAAACCTCTGTTCCTTCAATAAAACATTAGGTTGCTTTATATAGTGTATATACATTTTGACTGCTATTCAAATAGTTTTTAAAAATACATTTAAACATCACCTTGTCTTTGGATGAGAGATATTTGAGGTAAGGGCATTAAATCATTTTTCTCTTAGTTTACCCAGGTGCCATCAATATGTGATCCCATCCTTATCTGGTGGTGGGATAAGGAATTGCACATAATGGGCAGACACAATAAAAAAGAAAAGTAAATATGGTTACTTCTATTGGAAAGAATGTGGTGCCCAGCGAGAGAGTTGCTGGTCTTTTTTAGTTGCCTCCCCAAGGAGTTCTCAGGCCCTTCTGTCCTGCTTTCTGTTTTCAGTGTTTGCTCTTTCTGTTAGGTGAGCAGTGATTCTGAAAGTGAGGCAGCTGAGGCAGAAAGTGACTTTCTTGCTGTTACTCCCCAGTCCCCCCCCAAAAAAAAAAAATATCTAGGACATTTAAAAAATTATTATTTGGCTCCTAAATCTAGGAAGGTTTATGTTATTTATTTGTGATTTCTATTAAAAAAAAATCATTCCTGGTTTGAAAATCAGACTTCGTTTACAGTGATGGTCATTTGTAGATACATAACTTGATGATCAGACGTTGAAGAGACTGTCTAAAGCAGTGGTTCTCAACTGTCCGAATGCTGTGACCCTTTAGAACAGTCTCTTATGTTGTAGTGACTCCAACCATGAATTTTTTTGTTGCTGTTTCATGACTGTGATTCTGCCACTGTTGTGAAGCATAATGTAAAGGGTTATCTGATATGTGACCTGTGGTTTCAGTATCCCATCATTGCCATTCGATGACAGTTCACTCAAGTGACAGAAGACAGAGTTTTATCTTCTGCTCAGTTCATTGTAACTCTCCCACTCTACAGGTTCTAGTCTGGCTGTCTTCTGGTTGGCTCTGGCCAGGGCTTAATGCTGTCAAGAGAATTGACCTATCTGGTTTGCCTCCTGGCTTGGCTCCAGGCTCCATTGTTATTCTAGCTTCTAGAATAGCTGATTCGATACTTGATCATCACCTAACCTTTTGTTTTTGGAGAACATGTCCCAGCATCCTCCTGGGCTTGTGTCTAGCAGTTCAGTAGGCATCTGTTCAGTCCACAGTAGATCCATCACTAGCATAGGTTCTGATTGGTACTGAAAGAGTGACTGTGTGTGGAGCAAGTTCCTATTACGCTGGTGCTGAGGGAAAGAGTCTCTAGAACAGTTCAACTTAAATTGAGTAGAGTATCCTGAAGCAGAAGAAAATAAAAAATGGTGAACCCAATAAACACCCAGAATAAGTTTTGAGAATCCATCCACCAGGGAGCTCACACCATTTACAGAGCCACGCGGGTAAGACATAGAAATCAGCTGAATGTGGGTGGCAGAAGGTAGCGCAGGACGAGCACAGAGTTTAGTCTCCATTACCTGGCAAGTGGAGTGAGTCTGGGATCACAAGGACACACTGGTAATCCCAAAACTGGGGACATGGCATCAGGGGCATCAGAAGTTTGAGGCCCTCCCAGGCTATATGAGACCTTGTGCTTCAACAAACACAAACAAAAAATCAGCTTGGTGGGCTACAGCTGAGGCAGTCCTCCAATTTGTTGATCACACCTTTGATGCATTCTAGACAATTAGCTTCCCTCATGTTCTTCTGCATCCAGCGAGGGGTCAGTTAAGAGCTTGGAAGTCAGTTAGGTGCTCTGCTCACAGTAAGTCCTGTTATCTTCTGAAATACCCTCCAGGGCTCATATTTTACAGATGAGGAAACTGAGAGAACACTACGAACCCCAATAGAATTGTCATTTATTGCTCACATCCTCAAGATGCTGCTGTACTCATTGTCCTGATACAAAGAGGAAGGGCATTGGGGCGTCATGAAACACAGTAGGTAGATACACACTGAATTATTTACCGTATGCACGGAAACCAAACTGGTTGTCCAGCATGGTTTAGTGGAGGGAAGCATCAGAGCAGGTTAGGGGTGGTTTATTTTTGGTGTAGTTGAGAACTGTCCACCCATGGGTGCTCTGACTGGCTCATCCACAGGATGTAAGGGTGTATTGGGTGGCGATTGGCCACCGTTTCATTGCACATTACAGTGAGCAACGCCTTAGAGTTTTTAACTTTGTCATTCTGGACTAGTGAACACTCGGACATGATAGCAGGTTTCCTTCTGAATTGAACATTTGGAGTTTCTTCCATTCATATTGTCCTCTAAGACCTCATTAGAGGAGCATCTGTATTCCAGCCCTGGTTGCAGGTCTTAAGCTAGCCCTTGCAGTTGAGGTGGTTTTTCATTGGCTGCCAGCCCCAGTGATCAAAGGTGTTCCCTTTGATCAGATTGCACCTTGATCCTTGCGCCCTCATTGCTGGCTTAATCTGAATTGAAAATACACTGTAGTTTCCCATTGCTTTTCTCACCTCAAAGTGAATGTACTTTTCTCCTACCCGTTTCCTTTCCTTCCTGAAAGCAGACTTGATTTTATTTGGGTGTATTTGAATATTAATACAGGCGGATGGAGTGTATTGCTTGGAATCTGGGCACCTGTGACTTTTGTCTTTGTACACATCTGTGCGTTCAGGTGTAGGCTCATCACTAGCAGCAATTTGCACCGGGTGGAAAGGCTAGGAGGGAAGGGTTTTGGATGCTGGAATGGGCACATGGAAATTCTATAGCAGTAGAGAATCCTTTTGCTTTTGTGGGGTGGACCGGAGTTTTCAGAAGTGTTTCACCATTCTGCTGAATGGTGAGCCAATGCTGAGCATTGGCAGTGGAAGATTTTTGTCCTTTGATGTCTGTGGAACCTCAGGGTACTCTTTGTGGGCCTAAGGGTGTGGAAGAAGAGGGGTGATCACCCTGCGTGTGGTTCAGGGCAGAGGCCCTAGTTTTGATGGCATCTGTTTGTCTCTCAGTTCTGCTATGTGCTTTTTGTTGCCCTGGAGCCCAGTGAGTATCTCTGGACCGGAATCTTCCTACATGTAACAGACACAGTGAAGACTACCTGTACCCAGGTGGCTTTTTACACTCAGAACACACATTTATTCAGGTAGTTAGAATCCAAAACACACATTTTGGCTCTAAACGTGACCTGACCTTAGGCAAATAGAGGTTATTTCATTTCTTGAAGTTTATTTCTTGATCACTGGGACCTTTGTGTCCACATTTGGTGTTGTTCAGATTAAATAATATCAGTACACATACCTAGTAATCTCAGGAGGGAGGATGGGGGTTAAATAGGAATTTGGATGTGTGTGTGTGTGTGTGTGTGTGTGTGTGACTAGCCTGATCTACAAGGTCAGTTGCATGTTAGCCTGGGCTGCAGAGTGACCCTGTCTCAACAAACAACCAAACAAACTTGCAAACTAAATTCAAACATAACAGCTCATAGATGCTATTAATATGAATGGTAAATGTATTAATGTCTTGCTTTGGGTTTTTCTACAATATTTTCTTTTTTTGAGACAGGCTCTTACGCTGTAGTGCAGGCAGCCTGGGACAGGAGGCAACCTTCCTGCCCCAGCCAAGTGTTGGGGTTACAAGGCCTGAGCCATCTTACAACACAACAAAAAGGTTTCATGGAAACAGTTGCTAAGGTCCGTGCTTCTGTGTACGGCCTCAGCGTTTGCATCTTAACATCCTCTCTGTGTCCTATGTCCTGATGACTCAGCTTACTGTGTTCTCCCTCTCTTCCAGCATTGACTGAAGGCTACGTGGGGGCCCTCCAGGAGAACAGACAGGGCAGCTCCGTGCAGATCCGCAGGCGAAAGGCTTCGGGAGACCCCTACTGGGCGTACTCTGGTGAGTCCAGCTCCACTGCTTAATGCCCTGGAAGGGTTAAAAATAAACACTCAGAATCAGGAGGTCACCTCAGCCCTGTTTCCTGTTTGTTCAAGAAAATTTTGCATTGTTACAAGTTGAAAATATTGAAGCCTGCTTTTCCTGAAGGTTGTGAGTGGCTCTTTCCCTATCCGCTTTTCTAGTGTTCAAACCCTCCACTTCTGTCCCTGAAGTGTTCTTGGTTTTTTGTTTGTTTGTTTTTGTTTTTTTCCAAGGCAGGGTTTCTCTGTGTAGCCTTATGCTGTCTGGGACTCACTTTATAGAGCAGGCTGGCCTCGAATACATGGAGATCCCTCTGCCTCTGCCTCCCAGAGTACTGGGATTACAAGGCGTGCACCTATCTCAGCTTGAAGTGTTCTTGTTAATGAGTCATCATACCAAACTTTTGAGAGACAGTGTTGCCTTTAGGAGACAGTGTCTCTTAAGTCAGCTAAGTATTATAAAGCATCAGGTTGCCAACAGGGTCTCTCTGCCATTTCCCAGGAAATGTGACTTTATTTTCCAACTCTTGTGCCATTCTCTACCGTCTGCCAAGCTCAGTTTTACTTTCCACTTTTGAGGCAGGGAAATAAGAAAGCATTGTTACAATTTTAGTGCATATTACATCAGAAATAACTTTCTTGCAGTTAGAGACCTCTCTAGATTATGCTCCCTTCAACTAACTAAAAAATACACTAGGTGGATTGTTATTTTTAAAAGAGATGTTAACACTCAAAAATTTATGGAAAATGGATCATAGCAAATTAAGGAGGAATACTTGAAGAAGACAGACCACTTTGAAATTACTATGGCACTGAATAATTCAAATTCCTTGTTTGAAAGAGCTTGGAGGCACGGGTATTATTCTTCATAATAAATCTATGTATTATGCAGTGTTGTTGCATATAGAATTGCTGCAATTCTCTTCTGAGTCAGGGCTTCCTTTTCAATCCCAAATTTCCACCTGCAAATCTTGTTAAATTTATGTCAGTGTGAGAATTTATAGACCTGATCTTTAATTACCCTTATGTGTTGGCGTTTTGCATTCTTTTGTCTATTGATAAATCTCCTGCCCCTGCAGGGAGAATGGCTGATTCTGTTTTGTTTGCCTGCTCCCAGACAGCGATGGTGAAGTATTCCATCACACCTCCTTCTTTGCGATTAGGATTATCTAATTAGAGCCTTTTGTCACCATTTTCTGACAAATGACGAAAATTGGGAGATGGGGCCAAAATTCTATACATATAGCTTCTCGCCAAGACATGCAAAGAAAATTTATCACATGTACTGTAGCTGTGGTATCAGTCACAGGGAGGCACAAAGTGGCCTGTTATTTACAGCTCATCGACTTAGAATCATAATGCAGTTAGGCAGGAAATTGGAAGTTATGGGGCTTCGCTGCACATGGCAATGAAGAAGGAACACTTCTCACATCACTCAGTTACGTGAGGAGGACATGAGTGGTGGTGTCTGTGGAATGGGGCCATTATTGATGTCCTTAACACTGGTGGGCCTCAGGTCACCTACGAGTGCTGCAGTGTATGTGTCTGGGTTTGGGTTTAGCTGAAGGCTGATAGTTCATGTTTATGGATTGGTACACTTAGACTTACCTGGAAAGATCTAGGTCATAGATATTGTAGACCTTTTCAGGACAAGGGACTTTGCTGTAACCCTCATCCCTGTCAGGGCGGCTTAAGAGCCATCAGTAGATGATACTGGGAAGCCTGTATCAACTGGCTAGGTTGCAATGAAATTGTGTATGAAGATGGCAACTCAAGTCTTACATAATTTTCATGTAATAAGGAAATACTTCCTTTTGGATTTTTCTTTTTTAACTGAGCACTTGAAGTGTTGAGAAGCAGTCTTCCTCTACAGGCTGTGCAAGAACCGGTGCTAGCCGGATAATGGTTACAGGCTGCAGTTTAGCAAGCCTTGTTTTGGTAAATCCGCTCACACTCCCCTCACCCCCACCCAGCCCCCCAGTTCAGATAGCACAGTCCGTGAAGAACTTTCTGATGGATCCCACCCGTTTGGAAGAATTTCTCAAGCCACTTGTTAGAAGTAATGAAGGCAGGAGGAGAGGAGGAAGGGATTGACAGCTCGGGTACCATCTGTCAGACTTTCAAATGTTGGATGTTTGCATGTATCATTAAATAGTCTCAGGGGTGGAGCCCAAGTCTGAACAGGATATAATGTTTCATATGTACCTAACATCCAAAGGTGATTTTATACAATGATTTTAGGATTTAGAGTTTGGACCGTCACCCATTTCATAAGATTGCCTGTAGAATCTTTCCCTAGTACATCTTGTCAGTACTCCAAACAGTTCGGATTTTTTGAGTCAGGACGCCCATCCTATGTTCAGTCCTCATATTGAAATCATTTCCAAGGATGTCAGGGTAGTTCTTTGGTGGAGGGAACTCAGGATTGGGTCTTAGGTCAGGAAGATTGGAGAATCATCAGAAATGCTGATCAGTATTTGCTGATAGATAGAGGAAGGGCAGGAAACAGTAAGACTTGGCATCTGTTAGCTTTCCACACTTTAGGCTGAAGCCTTAAAGCCACAGCTGACTGTGGGCTTCTCGCTCCTAGAAATACATTGGAGCATAATGGGCGCTTAAGATGTGGGCTTGAGAAGAGGCTCTTCGTTGTGAGACATTTTTACATTTAGCAAAGGTAAATCAGGCCACTTCTGAAAGATCAGTTTAATGGGCCAGATCTTAACATTGTGCATCTAATCCTGCAATGCAGTTAGTTCCTCCTAGGACATTGCCATTTGTCTTTTGGCGTGGGGGTGTAGTGTGTAGAGTATAAATTTTGTACTGTGTCAAATACTGCTAACAGTGAGTCTGATTTTGGAGGGATTTTTAATTTCTTGGAGCCTCAGTTTCCCTTTTGGGAAACCGTAACGAGGAGCAGCATTTCCTTCCTAGGGTGTTGTGCCTGTGATGTTGAGGTGATAGGTGTCAGATTTTCAGCACCATCTTTGTCATTAAGTACCTATTGTGCTTGCTGTTCTTGAATCTGCTTCTCTTTTACGAGTTGTTGGTTTTTCTGAAATTCCCCTTGAGCAGTCATGCTTTCCAGTAATCAGTAGACAGTACTGAGGGCTAAGGGAGTGAGGTGCACATGGGCAGATTTATATGCTTTGACCTTTGTGACTTTCAAATGAGGTTTATCAAAAGGAAGCTTAATTTCAGAGGTGGAGAAGCTACAAGCTCCTCCCTTCCCCCAGGTACATAAGGGTTAGTGTGGTGTAGCTGCACTCATTGCTTTGTGTACTGTCTGTGGTACTTTACTATAGCTTCAGAGCCAAGGCCTGATATAGATGTTACTAACTATGATTAATACATACATAGTTATTGTGTGTGGGCATGACATGTATTTGTGTGCACACACTCAAATGTGCCTAAGGTGTGGTGGTTGGAGGACAACCTTTGGGAGTCCGTTCTCTTCCTCCACCTTCAGGATTGTCAGGTTTGTGCAGCATGCACTTGACCCCCCGAGCCAACTCATGAACCCCCAAACTCAGGAGTTGTGATGGATCTTTGGATGGAAAATTGGAAGATACTGTTATCCGGCCCTTGGCAGAAAAAAATTCCTCAGGACCCGCTCCCATTCACATGCCTTGTATTCTGAGCAGAGTGTAGTCTGGTGGCATTGGGAGACACTCAGGGGGAAAGAAGACTTCTTTGTGTTCCCTAGTTGTCCTCTTCACCTGGAAAGTCTTCAGCAAGTCTTCAGGGGCATTTGCATTTTCCTTTTTAGGGAAAGGGCTTGGAGGGGACAAGATGACTGAGTGTTTCAGGACAGGTCAAGGAAACACTCGGTTTCATCTTTTGCTGTTTGGTGGGGAATAGTTTGGCTGACCATACTGATGTCATTATTCCCATGCTGTCCTACACAGTCATTTTAGAGGCTGAATTTTGGGCTGGGCAAGCTTCTTCTTAGCCAGGGCCACTGCTGTACTTCATTAATAGAATGGGGACATTTCAGTGTTCACTCTAGTGTGACCGTGATCACAGCTACAGATCTCTGTTTATAGTTGATGAGTAAGCTGTTCTTTTACAGGATTATCAAACATCTTCAACTTATGCACACAGGACTGTTGGTTGAAGAGCCCGTTGTATGCTGATTGTAGTCATTAAGAAATGGTTCCCCCTCTAGTTCTTCCTTGAGATTCTGTAGCAAGGGTTATGTTAGCTATATTCACGTGGAAACTTCATCCATTAAAAGTGAAAAATGGACTTTGGAGGCTAGAGTTACCTGTGAAGAATAGCAGTGTCATTTCAAGATGCTCTTTATCTTTGGATTGTTTTTTCCTTATGGGGAATTTTATGAAGAATTATACCAGAAAAAAAAAGGGCAATCCTTTCAAGTATCTCATTAGAAATATTAAAACAATTTGTCTTCTGTAGTTTTAAACCAGCTAAGGTGTAGAAATTTCTCTGTAACTTCTGCTAATGATAGTTCATGAATTTTGGAGTTTGCCTGGAGTGTCTGTAATTTTTAAAATGAAAATACCATATGTTGCATAGGTCATGGTTGCAGGAAAGAGAAATAAGAAAAAAATCTGGAACAAGTCCAAGTGGAACTGTGAAGTGTTTTTATAAACCTATGTGTATTTGTTCTTCCTTTCAAATGCTGGAAGAAAACCAGGCTGTGTGGTCTCTGACCCTGAATTCTTTGCATTTTTAATAGTTTCTTTTTTGTATAAAGAAATTGTGTGAATCAGTGTTGGGGTGGGAGTGGTGCCCATCTTCAGAAGAATCCAAAATCAAAATCAAAACGTGCAGTTGCCAAAATGCCCTGTGGGAAGTTGTGTCCTTGGGCAAGTTGAAGATCAGAAGGGATTATTCTCCCGGGCATTGCTTCTGTCTTTTGGGCCAGGGCACAGCTAAGATCTTGTTTTAAATACCTGTAAAATGGAGATGGACTGTCCTACAGATGGCCGTGAGTTTCTGGTGTCAGGAAATTTCACA